ATATATGCAAATTCGAAATATAAGTTAAAATCATCTTTATCTGATAATTTTTAGCAATATCAACATCATCATATTTATCAAATCTTCTTTCTACAAGAACACGAAAATACGAAACCTTAAGCTTCACAAATCACGTCCTCGGAGTACTGCGGAACAATATCACCCGCAGCTTTGGAAAGGTCCACGACGCAGCGGGGAGTGTAGCCGTGGAGTTTGGTGGCCACGCCGACGCTGCGCAGGCTGCATAGGGTGCATCATCGTAGTCTGAGAGCTGTTTGTGCGTGTGTGTGTGCATTGCAAAGATTTCTGAAAGTTGGTGGTCTTCTTTGGGTTCCATGGACTAGGGTCTGTGTCTTCGTTTAGTATTTCATGGAGCAGCGGAATTTCCCCCAGCACAGCCCAGCCTGTGGGTTACAGCCCTCATGTCCACCCCATCGGTGCACTTGGCCGTGAACACCTTCAACGGTCCAACAGATGCAAGCCAATAGGTCTTTCAAACCTGAAATGCGGACTCCCATCAAAATCGCTGACTCACTCTTGTCGGTCAGCGTTGATGTAGTGATTGAAATGCTAGGCATTGGAAGGCATGGGAGAGGCTTCAAGACTTCGGCTTGCAGCCGTGTCGAGTTTGGGCGCTTCCGCCTCCATTCGGCCTGCCTGGGTCTTATCACTGATAGCAACAGGACGAGGACATCTTTCTTTTCCTCGCTTGAACATCTAACTCTCGCAATATGCCGATAACTGTGCCTTACATCGTGGGGAAAGCTCGGGGGCTTTCAACGTCAAGGTGTTGAGACCTACACATCGCGCCTGATACTTATTTCGCAGAGGTAGGTAGCACTACTGCATAACCTACTTGCGCATTCGTATTGCAATCGCTGCGTGCTGCCGTATGGGTTGTCAACTACCGTCAAATCATGTTGGCTGCTTTCTGCCCCCACAGGCCTACAGGTATCATCGGAGATCAGCACATTTTTCCAAGCATCGTGCTTCGTCTGGGCAGTCTTATTACTGCCGCACGTACTCGGCCCTTCCTACGCCACGAGTGTGGGGTCATTGACATCGTGAGCTCAGCAAGTACCCCCGCCTATATGTGTGTGTATATATATATATATATATATTGCAGTATAATGCATTATGAAGCCGAATCTTGCATTATGTGTTCTTGTTTACATTAGTTATTCGTTGCTGCTGGCCATTTCACGGAGTGCGCGGGTTCATTTCGCCCGTCGGGCACAAGGCCGCCTTTGCTTGAGAGGCAACCAAAACAGGGGGCGTTGCAGCCGGCAATGAAAGTTTAAGTTTAGGGCTTGAGGTTTTAGGTTTAGCACATAAAATATCTACATGAAGATCGTTACTGCCACGCTATGTTTTTAAATTGTGGCTCGCGACATCTTGAGGTGCACCGATCTATACAGGATCTCATTTCTGCGTCTAATGTTGCCAAACTCTGGTAACACTGCTGTTGGCGTCAGCTAGCTTTTCAAGCTTGGCGTGGGCACCCCCTCTTCTCTCAGGACGGGCAATGGTTTGAGAACATTGTTTGACCAGCCACGTAAGTCCTTTGCCGTCAGAGAACACCAATTCATATCGCATGGTCAGCACATGCGCAGCTCGACAACACATGCCCAACCCAAACAATAAGAAAAGCAGGTCACCGGGCTCCGAATCTGCAAGATCCCCTGAAAAAGAGAGCATGATCCGTTCTGTACTCGACAGCTGGGTGACCGCAGCCATTGGAACAGAGGCATGGTCAACTCCTTGGCATCAGCTGAGATGCGAATGCTCTTGGACTCGCAAGCTTTGTGCGACGGCTGTTTATCACATTGGGAATCTTTCAAAGCCATTGTGGCGGGTCTGAGTGTCCGAGTTATTGCCCAGCATCAGTGCTAAAGCAACACCCCGGGGGCCTCTTGGTGCAGTGTGGCCTGCTTCATGCATGCTCGTAGAAATGCTACTGTTACATCATCATGCTTGCGTCCACCAGATCATTACGACACGACTGCATTTCGGTAGATACCTGCTTTCTGGCGAATGGCAACCCGCAGATCCCATAATGGCAAAACCAGCTCCGAACCGAAGCTCCGCAAAACAAGCGCCCTGAGTTTGGGCCAAGGACAGTAACGTTGTGCCACAGCCGTAACAGTGGGTGCTGCGTCGCACCTCAGTGATGCCCAGTATCTACAGGGAAACTGCTTGCCTCGTCTTCTGCTTTTCGAAATGCGAGAGGCATGCTGATGTTGCTTCCCATGGCCATTTCTGACGATGACGATCAATCGTGACCATGCTGGCAGTGGTGATACGAGACGATGGTAGTGATGGTGGTAATGATTTTGATGATGCTGCTGTTATCTGCTGATGATGATCAATGGATGGGTATGGTCGCTGCCTGTGCCCCTTTGCTGCTACGCGTGGCACCCTCCCCACCCCGAGCTGGAGTTCTTATCCTGACCGTGTGTAGCAAGTGCTCCGATGTTTGCCGTTGCTAATATGCGAAAATCATCACCGTTTCTTTGGATCTTGTCGGCTGCTTTGCAGGGTGCTGCTTCTTGTCGGGGAGCTGTCCACATCGATTCGGGTGGCTTGGCGGCATTTCACATGTCGGGTCTTGCGGAAGCTTTGGGGGAAGTGCTGCAACATCGCAAAGTCATGGCTAGCACACTTCGGTAGCCGGTAAGGACATGCTGAACGCGCGTACGCAGCAGCTTTTAGCGGCAGGTCTTGCCATACTCCCGTCTCATTTTGCAGTGCTGCATCCATCTGTGCTGCACCCAAAAACCTGAACTTGTGCGTAATTGCACTTGCAAGCAATCGAACAAGGTTCTGAATTGTGTGAGGATGCAATTGTTTCTTGGTCTTGAAACGCCATCTCAAACCTGGAATCCAACAGATACAGGCCCGCCGAAGTGAGTGAAAGTGCAATCTGCCAACTGGAGCTGGCGTTCTGTGTCCTTTCATGAAGCAGTGACTCCGCTCTGAAACAATTGTCGTGCCAGTCAACGCGTCGTGCATTTGCCCGGGAATTCGTGCTACTTTTATTACTAATGTCTAATGTTATTGTTATGATTATTGCTACTATTCCTTATATTCGTGTGATCATGATGATGATCATTATTGTTGGTACATGCTATTGTGTTAGTAGTAGCAGGAGTTATAAAAGTAGTAATTAGGAGTAGTCGGCGTAGTCGCAGTAGTAGGAGGAGTAAGAGGAGTAGGAGTGTCAGGAGCAGTAGGAGTAGTAGTAATAGTAATAG